TATATATATATATATAGTTCTTAATGAAATCTTTTCTTCAAAGGTATTTCTTAAAAGTTCATTTTAATACGTTCATAAATAAGGTCATGAACATTTCTTTAAACGAATTATTTTCGCGTAATTTTGCGTGAAACACTGCAATAGAAGTTTTCCGGTGAAAAATTTGCAACCTTCGCTACTGCATTACAATCTATCTCTTTATTAAGATATTATTTAGTATGCATTCAAGTTTTCATTCAACCTCAAATTAACAGTTGATCTACGTGTTTGAAATAATCAACGTTGCTATAATCCTGCATGTACAATATCAAATATCTGTGAAATTCTGTCTTGGGTTAGTCTTTTAGAAAACTGGGACCGAGGCCATTGAAATCATATCATAAGCTGTGTGCAAGGTGAATGGTTTCGATCGACGGTCATGCGACGCTGGGACATTTTTCACGTGTGTTGTGTGTTGCGAAAGTGCCGAGTGCAACGTGAACTCTCACAAATAAAAATTATAGTTGCGAAACGAAAGATTAATTTAAATCCAACAATTTTCACGTGAAAAGATGCGACATCGCGAGTACATGGTTTGTGGAAGTGGTTGTGTTACATATGGCAGGATACAGTAAGTGGAAAAGAACATTCTTATATAGAAAGGGTTCTAAATATTATGTTTAGTTCTCATGTAGAAAGTGTAGTCCCCAAGCCAGTTTAATGCCTATGCCAGCAGAAAACAGATAATTAGCATTTGCATTTATTCATGTTTCAATGTATTTTTGTGTTGTTTTTGTAAATGATTGTCGAAGCAATCAATGGAAAATTAGCAATTCTCAAAGTATATATGTTACGTATGGACTTCACAATATGGAATATTTAAAAACTGTATAGCATCATCTAGACTAGATAACGTTCAGATCGCACACTGTGTTCACATAGCAGGAAATGCCACTGACATATGCCTATAAATTTTACTTTAATATATATTTCAAAATTAAAATAACTTTGTAATATAGAGTATATTTAAATCGAAGATTTGTACTTCATTTGAAAACATTAAATCCAATATTATTAATTTAATGGTATTTTCAGTACCCACTTATCTTTTGCAGTTGAATCATTTTGTATTTAGAAATATTTGCTTAAAATATAACAGGACGAGATCGAAGAAATGTTCCAAGAATATAAAGGAATATTACTACTACATCTATGCGCTATACGAAGTTTTCATGTTATTTATGTTTCTCGCAGATTCTTGTTGTCTTCCATGCTTGGGTATCGCACGTTGATAAACACTTTGCTGGAGGATATGATGCTTGCATCTCTGATAGCTGCTCTGACCAGCTCCCAGCCTCGGAAACAGAACGGGCTCCGCGAATCGCTGATGCAAGCCACCGCTTCCTACTCTTCGTTGGTGGCAACAAATACAGTGACGCATCTAACACGACCTCTATAAGGAAGAAAGACCTTCACAACGCCAGACTTGGATACAACGCTATGGAAATTGCAGTTATGGCGTTTCCACTCCCCCCCTGTAAATCGATTGGCTACAAATGAAGCTAACAGTTTATTGAGAAATATAATATTGGTGACCGTTCACGATGTCTGTTGAAGTTGCGTGCCAGCTACTGAAGCTTCGTAGTCCTGACGGTCCTATAGATTCGAGTGCCGAGTGCAAACTTTTAATACCAGCTTTTAAATGAAGCAATAGTAGTTTTCTCCGACCAACTGCAGGAGAATGCTGAAACTATACCTTAAAAACAGTCAACGAACCGCGGACCATCCTTTCTTCCCCCTTAAGATGTAGAGGTAGGAGCCCCCCACCCCCAACCCCCTTTGAACCCGGAAAATCACTAACAAGGAGATCAGGGATGCAGCGATAAATTGCAAGATTTCGGAGGAACTTTCGTCGGTGTACAATAAAAGTGTCACATTTAAAAAATCGTCATTTTTAGTTATGTTACGAAAAAATATAATTTTACTAAAATAATTTTATTTAAGAAGTTCACAAGATATCCATTAATGAAGTAATAAACTTCGTCTCTGGCTCAGTTCAGTTTAAACATGTTGTCCTGGAAAATTACCATTTTTTTAGATTACTTTTCTTTGACCCCTTGAAAAAATAAAAAACGAAACGTGAATTGACTGCTTTATGTTAACGGCCAGTAATCGAGGCCTGGAAATTCGGAAAAGTAACCAGTGTGCTCTTTTTTCTGCGATGCGTCTTCATGCAGATGACTAATTATGACATAACAGTGAACATTTAATAGCAGCAGAAACCCTCAAGCTTCAAGTGTTAGCTATCATCCACCTAAATCAAATTTACACACTCCTGTGTGGAGAGGAATTCACACGCCTTTCATATGAATGAATATCCGAATAAATTTAAATGAACGTGCAAAATTTGCTATAGTCTCCCTGGTGCCTAACGATATTTTCCGGAAGTAAACTGTCGCAGTCCAGTACAAGTCGTTCCAACACTGCAGCATAGCTTGTGACACTGGTTTTCGTTCTTACCATTTCGGAACAAATGCTTTCTGCACTCATAAACGTACGTTGTTAAATTTTAAAAAAATAACATTTTAATGTAATAAATTTATAAAACAATCATCAAATCGTTGAGTTTTGCAGACCCTGAATGTTTTTCCAGGACCTGAGCATGTGGATGAATGCAACATTTAGTCCTTATTACATTCTCAAGTTATAACTTTCCCGTAAATCGAAAATTGCGATGGCCAGATGCATGCAGAAATATGATTTGAATCTTATTGTCGATCTAGGGTAAAATAAACTCTAAGCAAATACGAAGTGTATATACATTTCTTCATGAGGATACTTCCAAAACAGTCTTCACGATAGATTTCCCCAAAATTTGGAAGATGCGAAAAAAATTTAACTCCTTTTTTGCGAGAATAATTAGCATTCTTTCTAGGCAAACCTCAAATATATTCCACACTAAATGTAGACAGGCCGCTATGATGGTGTCTCTATTTCTCTTCCAATGAATATTGGTTTGTTTTGATTGATATGTTTTCAAAGTTATGATCAGAATTCATGTTGTAGAGGTCAGTGACATTCGGAATATATAATATCTTCTAGCCTTACGTATTAAGCCGAGAGGATAAAAATAAAAATAAACGCCTGCTCTTCTGGTAAGCAGTTGATATCAATTTTGGAGACAATAATTTGGTCTGTGTTTCAAAAATTTTGAAAGCTTTTTATTTCTAAATTCATTTCTGGAGTTGGCATACTTTCCACCTCATACTTATTTTCACATTTTTAATTTTATCTTTTTGTTTTTTAAAGTAGCAAAATATAACTAATGTTTTGAAGTACGAAGTCTTGTTAGGGAATCTAACAAACACCACTGTTTACATGAGGAAAAAACATGAGAAAAGCATTATGCCGAACATTGTAAGGATCACAAGGATACGCCATTTATTCACGTCTCCTTTTTTTTCACAAGTAGGAATTCAAATGTTCACAAGGAAATATATTATGACACTAAAATTTTACGATACTCGTAACGCTGACATGATATTCTTGATATAGAAAATAAATTTCCAACATAAATACTAGAGAGATGTTCCGAATTTACGAAACCGTCACTAACATGGTTTAATAGACGTATCTGGGGACTATCCGGTTATTGGCAAAGGGCAGTTGATGAAGTTAAATGAACGGAACGTAATGAACAAAACGAAAAGCAGTGGTCGAAAAAGGAGCGGACAAAAGTTCACCACAGAAAATATCTGGCTGAAAATATCTATAATTAGTACTTTCATTTTAATGCATGAACTGATATTCAACCTGTTGCATGTGTATTAGTCCGCTACTATTTACTACTCTTCACTTCAGAGTTCTATATATAATGTGTTAGAAGAACATCATCTCCTCTCCTTCTCAACTTCAACTCCTCTCCTCTCCTCTCCTTCTCAACTTCAACTTCCCTTCTTCTTCTTCTTCTTCTTCTTCTTCTTCTTCTTCTTCTTCTTCTTCTTCTTCTTCTTCTTCGCCTGGTGGATAATCTATCCTTCTCCTTCGCCTTAGTCTTCGTCTTCGCTGTTGGATAATCTGCCTTACGGCCGTTGATATCTATTCCAGAATTCTTGTCTTTAAGACGCATCATGGCAATATCTACAAACAGAACAACCTTTCTCCAAATCCTAAATGACAATATATGGTTTGTTTCCTCTTATCGTACGATGACTAAGGATTTGTGGATCGTACAATATCACAATCAGTCCATAGGAGGATAAACATTTGGTGAGGGTTTATAGCTCTTGGAGCATGTGTCTATAATTTTGAGAGGTTTACACATCATCTTCACAGATGAGCTTTACACCGGAGGTAACTACAGACCGTATTGAGTCTTTTTATGTATTTAGAATTGGCGAGAATTGGTCTAGCTCATACGTTATTATCAATTGTTTCGAAGTTGATTATTATTTACTAAATCCTACGGGATTTATTATTATTATTATTATTATTATTATTATTATTATTATCGTCGCTAATTGTCCTTTCTAAAGACTACGTGAACGTGCAGTTGTACCCACCAAGGCCCAGTCATTTTTCCCTTGGGGGTATGCACATGAATTTTTATTAGGGGGATCAGCATTTCTGCTGACTCCATTTTTACGTCCCAGGATTGTTTGCCTTGGAGATTTGGAAGATGAAATGATGATGATGATGATAGTGAGGGGTGAAAGGATGACACACAGACAGCAATGCACAAACACACCTATGTTTGTGATCTTCTGGTCCGAGACCGTTATGGCACTACTACCTTAGCGATCTAGGACATCTGATCGGATTATTATTATTATTATTATTATTATTATTATTATTATTATTATTATTATTATTATTATTGATAATATTGTCGAAGAACTTGTGATATTGTGATTGTGATATCCGAGGGCGGCGCGTGGGCGTTGGCGTGCGCAGTGTCGCTGCTGGGATCGCGCACGCACGGCCGCCTGCAGATGTTCTCGCGCTTCCTGCTGACGGCCGAGCCCGCGGACCCGCGCGCCGACGCCACGCCGCAGCGCGTCGGCACCTTCCAGCTGTTCGGCGACTCCTTCACCACCTTCCACGACGACTGCATCAACACCGTCGCCGAAGCCAACGACCTGCCCAAGACGGAGGTGCAGGCCATGTGGACGGCGCCGCCGCGCGGCTCCGGCTGCATCGTCTTCCGGTGAGTGACGGAGGGAGAGGGGGAGAGGAACTCGTTTTTCAGTAAATGCAAATCTCGGCAGAAAGTCTGTAACAATCGAAGCTTTTCTTGATAACTTTTCTCATCTGGCCAGCCTCTCTAAATCTGAAATCGTTCACGAAAACATTATAGTCTTACTGATACAGTTGATGCAATGATATTTTCTCATAGAATTCCAATGGAAGACAATCACTAATAAATATTGATTGAATGGAAATATCTACTTTTAATAATATCTCGTTTCAGTAGAGCTATCCGAAACACAAACCAAAGTATTTAATATTTAATCATGATTTACAAGTTAATTACAACCACATTTGATTTGTTATTTATCCTTCGGCACGACTCATGATGCATACATATCGGAAATTTCTTTGTCAACCCGGGTAAACGTCAATTCAAGGATAAATCGTTAGGGAAATTAAACCTGCCGTGCTCTTTGAATGTCTCGTCCCAGTGATTTGTCGCTCTGTCTCATTAGCTGTGCCTTCTAAGGACGTGATGTCATTCATAAACACAGCCTACTTGGAAACTGACTTCTTGGCCCCTTCATTTGTTGGCACAGGCATCGTAGCTCAACATGAGCAGATGACAATTCAAGATCTAACTTCCTCTGGTAACGTGTAAACCAATAGGACTGCTTTAAAAAACCAATAGGGGACCTTGGTCCGAAAATCAAAAAAACGAATTCCAGTTATAAGGCGTAAATTTACTTCTTGTAATCATCATTTTCTTCATTTCAATCACAAACTACTAAATTAATAAATAATAAAATGGAAATTACAAAGAACTTCAATCGCTTATTCCCAGATATGAATGTAACTGCTTTGTGAGATGAACGGCGAACATTGTTCCAACTACAGCTACATATTTTCTCCCATTGTTATTAACTTTTTCAATTTTCGAAAATTCACCGAGTTCATAGAAAATGAGACCCGCACAGTTTTAGTCCTAAGCTCTATCTGTAGAAAAATCTAAAGAAAAACGTTTGAACCATCTTTGAGAAAGTAATTTTTTACAGATTGCATTAAATTCATGCAGATATTATGCAAAAGCTACTCATTTCTTCAAAAAATTTACACTTTTTAAAAGATATGATTTTTAGAATAGATTTCATTTAGCACGAACAGCTTCGTTTTAATACTGTACATTTACAGTTATTTTTTCAAATTTCGAAAATACAGAGAGAGTTCTGGAAATGAGTTCAGCATCGTTGTTTACATTGATACATACGAGGAGAAAATTTAAAGAAAAAACTGGAGCTGTTTGAGAAAATTAATGTTCTAAAATTGCCTGTTTTTTTTCGTAAAAGTGAGCGAGGAAGAAGAGAAGGAGAAAGAAAGAATACATGAGTGGAGTGAAAGAGAAGCATACGAGTGAGTGAGATGAAAGGAAGAGATACTATGATGTGAGAAAGGAAGCATACATGGTGATGAAAGGAAGGAAGTACTATGATTGAGTGAATAGAAGAATACGATGAGTGAGGTGAATAGAGAAATACATGAGTGAGTTGTAATAGTAAGAATGACGGATGAGGTGAGTGATAGGGAAGTGAAGACGGATGAGGTGAGTGATATGCGAGAAGAATGACATTGAGGTGAAGTGGTAAGAGAGAAGTACATGATGTGATGGTGAATAGAAGAATACATGAGTGACGTGAATCGAGGAATACAATGAGGTGTAGTGAGAAGGAAGAGTATTACAATGAGTGAGTGAAAGGAAGAATACCATGAGTGAGTGAAGAGAGAATACATGAGGTGAGGTGAAAGGAAGAAGCATACATGAATGTGAGTGAAAGCGAGAGAGATTTGAAGACGAGTCGGTGGGTGGCTGAAAAATAGAGAGAAAATGACATTGAAAAACGAAGAAAACGTAGGTGTGAAAGAAAAGAGCGAACGGGCGACCGATAGACTAGGAATGATACGTTTGCAGCGCGATGGTGCTGGAGAACGTGGACAACTGGTGGGCTGACGACGGCAACCTTAGCCACCGCCTGTGCGAGCTGCCCCAGGACACGCAAACTGGCCACGATGACTCCAACGAGTGCTGCGCCTGCGACGAGGCCAAGTACCAGGTACATGCGACCGCGTCCGCGCCACACACAACACCACACCCATTTCACATTACACTCTTAATATGATTGTTATCTGTTTTGCAAGTTCTTTAACAACAGGTACTACCCAACATGCTCGAAACACCTTCCTTAGACCTTACACCAGATCACACGCTTGCGGGTAATTTAATTATTGTGTAATTTGATTATTGTGTGGGGTCAACTATGAAACAACGCATACACCAAAGTCAACTAACGCCATTTCTAGCGCGAACCCATGATCGCTCCAATACGTTTGCATTTAAGTCCAGTAATTCCAAAAAGAAACAAAAAGGTATAATTTGTGCCTTCCCATAACTTACTTCTCGACTGTTTCCTGACATTCCCTTACGAAATGTTACTTCTCTGTATATTTGAATTGATTTTCATTTTTCCTAAATGTTTAAATCAATATTCACTCAATTTTTCAAAGTAAGGGAAAAGCTTAAGCATTAAAGTTACGTGTGTGGATTGAAGCTTACATAATGGGTGATTTAATACCAGTAAGAGTACAATAAAACTATTACCAATTGTTTTATTACACTGCGCCTTCTCAATGGTGTCAAATTCAAGTTACAAAATTTCTTGATAATTTCACATATTTTCCAGTTAATACGACCCATGTCTATTCCCCACCCTACCATGATATTCTTCCATAGACACATGTGTGATGTTTTTGGCAACTGAAACATGATCCACCGCGTTGCCCGATATTCCAACTATTAGTATTATACAACAAAATTAAACAGAAAGAAAATGTTTAAACACACCTTCGACGACGATTATGTTTCCAAAAGCTCCTTAGCAAAAACAGATTAGCTTGTGTTACACTTTCCCAATTTACAATTCGCTCTAAGCAGATTAATTTGAGAATAACCACATTCAAATTTGCATGTTTTCAGCCTCCATTTGAAGGTGATTGGTCTCATTTTGAAGTTAAAAGGATGTAGTAGTGTTTTCAAATCACTTATTGACTACTACTATTTTACTTCTGGAATCTTCAATTTAATTCTTTACAACCCCAGTTCTAAAAAATTTATTTCACACCTATATGCCACTATGTATGTAATATTGGCGAAATATCGAACTGAATTATGAGATTATCTACAAGTGCATAGAATTGCGTCGCTTGATGTACTTCCTTTCGTATTTGTATCTTGTTTAGATATACCGTAATATTCAAATTAACCTGATCACACACTCTTTTGCAAGATATTTAATTTTTCATGGTTGGTGGATATACAAACTAGGGCATTTATTTCAGGAAAACATATACATGTATAGCAATGTCAGGATTAGAATAAAATTACCAGACACAAATTTTCTGCAGTATTTTCTGCAAAACTCTTCTGCAGTATAATATAGATTGTAAATCAATATCGATCTCCTCTTAACAACTCTCTCAAACGCCACTTGAGGAAATGTTTTACACATTATGGAAGTCCATTAAATAAGTAAGTTGGCTTATGAATAAAATTCTTCTTTACACAACTATACACATATTTCTGTAAAAACATTTGTGTTATGGCGCGTTTCATAGTTATTTATTTGATAACATATAACAAAATAACGGTAATTTTTCTTAGCATAAAAATGAGCAGAATAGATATACTAGAGGGAAAAGTGAGAAGGTCCAAGAACATAAAAAGTGGTTTACACGTGGTCTATTAGAAGCACCATAGACAAGTCCAATTGTTCTCTTCAGCTAAACAAAAGTTTATTAGTCGAGGAACGATTAACCCACAGTAAAATACCACAGTTCAAATCATAACGTGCACATGAGCATACTAGACAGTTAAGAAGAGTTTTTAGAGCAAAGGTAATATCCTTAATATAAAAATAGCCGTATTTACATTTTTTTGAAACACTCCAAACAAGAGATTTTTATCCAAGGTCTGGCATAGTGAAAATTCCGAAGAAATTGATTAGGGAAGCATTTAAGATATTATTGAGCATATATAAATTAACAGTGAAAAGTACAATATCGTATTGTTCCATTACTTACAGACATACTTCGCTTTGTAATCGTTAGCTGATGTATTAATACAAATTAGGTTTTTGCGAGATCGTTAATTTTGTATCTAGTTTTGATAACCAATTTATTTTGTTTAGTGCGATAAAATTCACTACAAGAGTCGTATTTTTTGCTCATTATCATTCAATTCCATTGCAAGGACATAAAAAATTATTTGAACTAGAGGGAATGCGCGGTATACAGAAATATTTCCTCCTCTTGGTGTCACTTGTTATCATTCAACAGCTACTTATTTTTTTTCTTTAATAATACCAGTTAAAGATCCAAAATTGAGGAATAAATTTCACTGAGGAAAAGATCTCTGGCTTTACTATTGGAGGTGAGAGATAGTTTTAATTTGAACATTGCCATTTTCACAGATTTTTATGAAAACAGAAACTATATAATTTTTATAAATTCACTGTCATCTATTACAGAAAAATGCAGCTATTTTCCAAAAAAATTTGAAAGTGTCATAGTGGCCTTGTGTAAAGTTTCTCCCAAGAAATCATAATGATCTCCGGAACGGCACAATTAGACCTGTACTCCTGATGAAGTTTCAGCTCAAACACGTTTAATCTGACAGAGTAAAACAATTTTCCATTCCTCCACTCATCCACACAGACATCTAGATTTTCGAGAACAAAATTGCATGTATCTTCTCGGAGCCTCCAGCAATTTTTGCCATCTTTGAAACTTCATTAATAGTCGTTAGTCTTACCGCAAATCTAAAGCTCAAAAGAACCTTAAATCTTTACGACCAAAAATTCAAGCTTGTATTGTTGAGGTGCAATACTTTTAAATAATCGTAAAATCATTTAAAAAATATATACGGTGTGGGATGAATAAATTTTTCGCCGAGACATTTGACACTTCTCCCTTGTGAATAAAATTATGTTTAATCCCCCGTTCTCGACCGTGCGCAGAACTGATTTGGTTTGCAGCTGGTGTTCGAGGGCCTGTGGTCCAACGTGACGCACCCCAAGGACTTCCCGTTCTCGCTGTGGCTGACGCACTTCAGCGACGTGATCGGCGCGTCGCACGAGCGCAACTTCTCCTTCTGGGGCGAGGGCCAGATCGCCTCCGACGGCGTGCGCATGGTGGCCGAGTGGGGGTCCGTGCGCGGCCTGGAGCAGGAGCTGCGCGCCAGCGTGAGTGCCACGCCCACCCTCGGGCTACCTAACGCACAACCACTCTTTAACACTAAGCGCGCGCTTTCGGCCTCAGTAGGGAATTTTCGCACGGCGTAGCGTGCAGCTATCGACTGTAATATCGATCTTCTGCGCATGAGCGATGCTCAAACGTGATGTGAAACTCGAACTGCGCATGCGCAGAAGATATATATTGCTGTCGATAGCCATAATGCTTCATCATTCAAAAAAATCTAATAATTTTTTTAAACAAAATCCTACATGTAGTATTCGGGTCACATACGTGTGTCCGTTCGTTATTCACAATTAGACCGCTTACGGTAATCCATTCGAGGCAACTGAAGCGACATTCAGTACGGCTGTGTAGTGGTGGGGAATTGGACATTTTTTCGGATCTTTACAGTACATTCTAACAGATTTTTTAAGGGTTTTGTGCGGTGATTCATAGCACTTAAAACATGGTTTGATTAGTATTAAGCTTCTTGCAGCGATTTCTCTCATCACACGAGTGCTATCTGTACCCGAACCCCTAGAATATTCTGGAAGGTTAGCAGAACAAGTTTTTTGTCGTGAGGTGCAAAACAAATCCTTTAAATTACAATGCTGTCTTTCGAGCATGACATGAATCATTTCATGATTCTTCAGTATGAGGATAACTAAATCTAATTATTAATGAAACAAATTGTTAAAAATATTTATATTCATACTTATTCGTGTTGCTGTCTATGTCCCAGGATGAACGGTATAGACAAGATAAATACATTTAAATTTCTTCCTATGAACTTGCACACACAAATAAAAATGTTTAATATGAAAATATCGGCCAGAGTTTCCGCCAGTTAGTTTTATACTAATTTGAATATTAAAATGAAATTATAATGAAAAAATATTTGAATATTAAATGTAAAAAAATTATCTTCATTTTGCAAGTAAAATGTTTAATTATGATTACATCCGTTCAATATTTCAATATTACTCGGAGCCCCCATAGTCCGGTAGTATTCATCCAGCTCGGGGCTCGCAGAGCGCGCATATCGGATGTACGGGGAAACGGAATAGTAGAGGGGATGAGACCCTGAACTGCGCTGGGCGGTCGGGAGGAAGAAATGTCAGCGAGCAAAGAAGAAAGAGTAAACTAGTGAGAATGAATGAATGTTAGTGAGTTTAATTGAAGGAAGATATTCCTTCTTCCCTCTGTGATGATAGTGTGCGAAAGAAGGAAGAAGCGATGGAGAAAATTAGTCAATCATACACTGAAGTTTGTGAAAAAAGTGAGATAATGATAATCAGACAATGAGAGAGTGGGACAGTGCAGAAAAATAAGTAGTGACAGATTTCAAGTTAGTCGATTCCTTTGAATAAATCGATGTGTGAAAATACTCTATCACATGTTACGTAACTTAGTAAAAATCTCTTGTTACAATCAATCAATCCTTGTTCGATCTACAAAAATCGAAAATCCTACTGCATTACTTCATGTCTCCTTCTTCACTCACCGCCTCAGTCACGACTCCATAGCCAACGCAAATGTAAGATCGAAAGAAACAGGATGTCCAGGTGAATGTTTTGTTTGCTTTTTGTTCGCGCTATAAAGAACTTCCTAGAAATTGACAATGTGAACAATTAGCAATTATTAAATTATATAGAATGTCACCATGTTTCTGTATTTTTACAGGCCAGACATTTGAGAACCCTCATCAAAGCAGGCGGTTTGTGGTACCCCAATGTAAACGCCAACACTTCAACAAATTTCAGAGTTGATCAGCGAAGACCTCTCTTATCTATTATTTCCATGCTCGGTAAGTTTTTATTAGTCGACACGTAAGGGCGCGATTGAAATACTAACGCCCTTTTTGTCATCTTTCAAAACACCAGTATCAAATGTCGACCATTCACATTTTAAGGACCAACTCCTGACTGGATCGTCGGCGTGTCAGGTCTCAACCTGTGCACACGAGATTGCCGCTGGGTGGAGCGCAAAACAGTGGATTTGTTCCCATACGATGCGGGCACCGACAACGGCATCACGTACATGGTGAGTCAAACGTAAGATGAATTTGAAGGGGACACATTTATACACACAACCTACCAACAGTGGCGTTGCGCGGGTGTCAGCCACCCGTGGCCGAGGAAAATTTTACTGACCTCTTATTTAGGTACGTATTTCAGTTTAAAAGGCAAACGTATCATAATGAAGACTTGAACAACATAGCAGTCAAACATACAATTACATAAGTAAGAAACTAAAATAAAATATTTAATACATAGTCGAATGTGTGCATACCCGAACAATACAATTTTCAACAAAGTTCAATAATTGAACAATTACTACTCATACTTGCAATATATCACTAAAATTACAGTTTGGAAAGCACATACATATATTCGTTTAAGTTGATGCGAATTGAACGACTGATGGTCCATCCATGAAACTTTCTTTGAATTGTCAAAGCGTCACTCACGGACTTACCTGAGGAGACTTGACCGCACTGTAATCTAATTTGTAGGTGTTGTTATACAACATTGAACACTATTCTTTATATAAATCATTCTCGCTGAATATTAGTCATAAAGAATCCAAGCACAAAATAAATAAGGGTACCCCTACAAGTCAATACAGACGGTGCTACCAGTCGTTCGTACAATGAACAAGATGTCATTAATATACTTTCATTTAAAGAAACCACAGAATAAGTAATTAAAGATTTCGTGCTCATTTCAATCTGTCCGAATTGTCGGTGCGACAAAAATATGAAGTGGTAAAAAGTTTACGAATTGTTGTTGTTATTATTGTTATTATTGTTATTATTATTATTATTATTATTATTATTATTATTATTATTATTTTCAAATGTTGTCTTCTAAAACGTCCGAGCGGGTCGGGCCGCCCCTGCCGCTCCCACTACATTCCGCCACTGTCTACCAGGGGCGTATCTCGGTATTCAAGCGCCCAGGGCAATCATAGAATTTGCACCAGTCAGGATACTTCAAATTAGGATTGTTATTTTTTTAGCAGATATACTCGAAATAGCGCCCCTATGAGTAGCGCCCATAGCACGTGCCATGTCTGCCATACAGTGCCTCTGTAATCTACCACCTGTGAATTAGTGTGACGATTCAAAAATATTCTTTAATAATTATTGATGAATCCGTAAATCAAAGCTTTTATGAATTTGGCATTAGGAGGATAACTTGTTTTTGCATTTAACTTTTTATTAATATCTTCCTTTCGTATCCCGGAATTTACCTTTACATGCATAAATTAATAGCTGTAATAATTATGAAGACTTCAGAAGCCATTTCTTTCCTCTCCAATATTTATTCATTCGCACAGGCCATGTGCGATCAAAGAAGAATTTAATATATTCAGTAGAATATAGAAAATGAAGAATTAGGCACCAAATGCGCACATGATTATATTACAGTTATTTACAAATAAGTAGAGTAATATATTACAATAAAAATACCATTCATAGTTCTACTCAATTTTTTTTTAAAAATTCAATGTACAAAAAATTCCGTAATTTGACTATTAATCTTGCAAAAAGATTGTTTACTGAATCTGGTAGTAATTGATAGTATGCCGTGGATTATAAGAATTCTTTGTTCTAATATTCCGTATTACAGACTGATCTCAGTTTCATAAAGCTTTACTTCAAATAATCAAAGTGGATAAAACACTTTATAGAATTTCTAAATATCGCTTCAAGTTTACCCGGAAGTTTGCTGTGGCAACTAATAATCAATTTTGTTTCAACTCACCGTAATGTTGCACAGTCGCCGAACTCCCCGACCATCCCGCGAGAGAAGATTCGCCGCATCACCACCATGTACCCCGAGGACCCCCGGGCGCCGTTCTACGACCCGACGCGCGCCGAGATGCTGCCGTTGGCGCGCCTCTACCTGGTGCGCGAATCCGTCACCCCGCGGCCGTGCGGCGCCGACGACGGCGCCAACCCCGACCTCGCCATCGAGGAGACCGACAACGTGGAGGACTCGGCGAGGCGTAAGTTGGCGGCTGGAACAGAAGGGGAGAGACGCTTATGATTACGCGTTCCTTGCAAGGGAACGAGAGCAGGCCGTTCCATGTCGTACACTGAACGATTAGTGTTTCCCAGAGCGTCAACTGCTAAGGTCTTTAGCCACGTGGGTGTAGTGCCCGTTTTATCGTGGGAGGTGATCTTCTTCCACTAGATGGAGATCTACACGTCTGCTACATCTCTACTTTAATTGCTTGGATACCAACAAACTCGAAACATCCACAATTTCCTGTTTTAGTCAACCACTAAGTTGATTTAATTTGTAAATTTAATTATCAGATGGGTTACATTGTTGTGTACGATTTATTTCTATTAAAAATTGTATTGCACCAGCATCTTTCAAAACAAACATAATTTTGATAATCTAACTTTTGCAGCCCGCCCATGTGTTGAATATGTTTATTCCTTGCGCAGCGGAGTGTGCCGTAAGCGACTACTCCGAGTGGAGCCCCTGCTCAGTGTCTTGCGGGAAAGGCCTGAGAATGCGCCAACGCTCGTACCTCATGCCCGACAAGGCAGCGATGCTGGGCTGCGGCCGCCAGCTCTTGGCGAAGGAGATGTGCGTGGCTCGTGCTCCGTCGTGCCCGTAAGTATAGTGCTCATTGGTTTGACACGTTCAGACAAAAGAGCAAACATTAGCATTTGAATAAAATATGTCGTCATTTTTGGCGAAACACATACACCAATGAATCTCTTCTTACCTTGGGACACTTCCTGAGAACATTTGTACATTTGACACAAAAATTATTTTTTAAATAAAATAAAAAAGTAATTAATGGGAATGCGTGACATATTTTACCTTATGTTAGTGTAATTACTCAAAAAAAAATAAGTACATCACATAATTTAAAGATCCTAAATTGAGGGATAAATTGAAAAAAAGAAAAGACCGGCTTCAATATTGGAGGTGAAATTTAGACTTGCAATTTTTAAAATTTCAGAAATTTTAATGAAAATCGGATCTATGTTGTACTTATGAATGCCTTTTCTTATATTCGAGCAAAACATTTAAAGAAAAAAATTACAGTAATTTTCCACACCATTTTGGGTCTTTATGTAAATTTACCACCAAAATTCAAATATTTCTTAACCTGAAGAATCTAGTTTTCTTTCCGTTGCAGGGGAGATCTGGATGACGACGATTTGCTGTCTCTAGTGGGGGAAAACAATGATGCGGTGTGCGCTACGACTGACTGGGGTGCTTGGTCTGAATGTTCAGTAACATGTGGCACTGGAGAAATCATGCGCACTCGGTACTTCCTGGACAGAATGGGCTTCAAAAAATGTCCTCAGGTCGAGCTCAGACAAAAGGATATGTGTAAACAGCCCCCATGCCGTGGCCAAGCAACTCCGGAAATTGTGAGTAAAGACAGTGCTACAGACACTGCAGTGAATCATGTCATGCATCGTATTTCTTGTTTATTAATTCAAACAAGACTTCTCTTTAATCTTAAAAGCTTTCATACGTTTTCCACTTCTATTTACAACAATGTCAAAAGTTTAAACTATAAAGTTCTTAAACAAAATTCTGAAAATTTTCCATATTCTTAAACTTGCATAATTTTTGGCAAGGCTAGGTCGCACCATTTCTCAGTTATGCGTGAGGACGTGTGTTGCAGTGAAACGAGTTGTACAGATTTCACCCCTGGGTGGGGGATAGTTCCCTTAGCAGCATAGCACATTTGCAGGGCGTTGTCGATGGCGTTGAATACAACCGCCATCCTTCCTTAGCTTATGTATTTGAGTCTTATGGATAAACTGATTACTTTTTTTGATGAAAATGAGATAAATAGAATACTCGATAACGTTAACCGATCTCCACATTTGATTGTAATCAGAAAAGTTAAATTCCTCCTGGTTCCTGAGCAAAAGCATACGTCTAATGACGAAAACGCCTTAAATTTCATTAAACAAAAAAACTAACTTGAAAATTCAAGTTGATTCATTGTTTTCGCAGTCACAATAACTTGAGATCATTGAAGAACATCAAGTAAGAGTGTTTTATGTCAATTCACGCCTTAAGATTAGTTCATACAACCACATGTTGATGTGGTAGTTTTCTCCAGAAAAACATAATTTTCTTGAGTAAGCTTATTCACTACTGAGCTTATTACTATTACAAAGATGTAGTAGGTTATATCCAACTAAACGTTGCAAACTTCTAGTGCATGCAAAAGGGTAGCATATTCTCACTTTTGCCAATGAACTTACAGAGTGAAAATTCATATAACAGAATTTTATGAACATGTGACATTTCCCCTGATGTTTAGGCAACTCCTTATGCACAGATGTTCAGAAAGCCACGTCCTGTTGCAGTCAAGGAGATTTCATATACCTGCCGGACACTTCTGTATAGAGGGCTGCCTAACAATTAGGAGCAAATATCATGCATATAACTGCATTATATGTAATTTTCCACTATGTTTGCATTTGCAAAAAGGGACTGTTTTCGACCGCCCTTTCTTCATGCCCTACTTTGTAAAATTGATTCTGAGACACCTGGAGATTATACAAATTGGGATGAAGGGCGATGACGAACGAAACCAGAAAACACAGAAAAGTGCTGTCAAATTGAGCAGTATGTGCAAGGCTGGCCGTTGCGCAGCGCGACCCGCGGTGCCCGGTGACGGAGTGGAGCGACTGGAGCCCTTGCAGCGCCACGTGCGGCCGCGGCCTCAAGCTGCGCACGCGCCTACTCATGGCGGCACCCGAGCTCCAGGAGGCGTGCAGCGCGCGCTTGGAGCTGGTGCAGACGCGGCCGTGCGAGGAGCAGCGCGACTGCCACCTCGACATGGCCACCGCCAAGCGTAAGCCCTCCCTCCTCTCCAAACAAATATGTTCATTTCAGTAATTGATGATTGAGGTTTTCGGGCGCATCAACTGCTAAGGTCATAGGCTAAGGTCAAGAATTGTAGTGCACGTTTTCCCTCGGGGTACTTCCCCCGCTGGTTAACGAGATCCGGCGCTGACTTACCTATCGACTAACGGGGATTCCCCGAACCAGAAATCGCCCACCAGCGGGACACTGCCCCAGCTGCTCAAGCTCTGAGCTCTCGACCGGTCGCCTGGCATTGGTGAAAGTGTAGTGCATGTAAGCAAGGGTGGTGTGTAACTGTAAGTAAGGGGTGAGGATAGGAAGAGGAAGGAAAGTTCGCACGCAGGTCGTTGCCCGTTTGTTAGGGTACTGCTCCGGCATTCACCTGATGTAAATAAAAAAAATCACAGAAACCTATAGATCAGAGTAGCCGATCTCAAGAAATCTCCAGACTGCTACTGACTTATCAAGCCAGTGACGAAAATCCTGCCACCGTCGGGATTCGAACTCTAAGACCTCCATGTCAGAGGCAGTGACATCAGTTCATACCTTGAGCCACCTAAGCCTGTGATTCATTTCAACGGAAAATCACTGAGCAATACATTTAATTTTTATTTTAGATTGAATTGTAATATTGGAATAACTTGGAATAAACCGAAAAAATGTAATTGAAGTCCTGTTAATTTTTTTGTCGCGTTGCAATATATAGAAACAAATTTTCTACATCAATACCACGAGAGACTGAAAAGAACAGTCACTTAAAATATGCCGGCATATTGCTATATCATCTTCAGCCCTATTGATTTAAAATATAGTCAACCATCACAAAGTCCAGATCCTGTGTTCGTTTTGTAGCAAGTGGAAGTTTACATTTTAGACAAATAGTTACATTTGATATTTGATATTTAGTAGAATATTTACCAATGTTTTTCACAAAAATGCGCTTAAAAAGGGAAGAAAATGATTTACGATTGTCAAAACTCCTTGCATGGTTCATCTGATTCAGTAAGACAGTGTAATTAATGTACACTTCAATGTGTATTATTTACATGACCTTAAGGGCCAATTATATTTATACATAACTCGTCAATATCATTTTAATCTTGCAGACTTTAATATATAGTCAAACAGGAAGACTAAACAAATTGTAAAACGTAAATACCATTCCCAAATCGATTTTTTTGTATTCAACGTACACTGATCATATACTGATGAAGTGTTCGTTACAACTTTCTAAATGTCTAAAAATGTTTATTCATTACATGTGTACATTTTGTTAATGTTCCTCGTTTGTTTCAGAGGTGTGCATGATGGAAGCTGATCCTGGCCCGTGCCGAGGATATTTCGAGCGGTGGCACTTTGAGGCGCGCAAAGGGATGTGCGTGCCCTTCGGGTACGGCGGTTGCCGAGGAAACAGAAACAACTTCATGACTCAGGAAGAATGCGCACAAGCGTGCAGCATTATGCTCGGTATGTCTCACAGCCACAATAGATCCGCGTTCTCTCGCAGTCCAAGAGATTTCGAGTACACAATGAACGAGGGTCAAACCCTCCCCGTGTTCAAGTTTGTAGATACAGTTTCCTCTCAAAGTAGATACGTTCGAGCAACCTAATGGTGATGAATGATTTGTTTCGCAACAGGAGGGCCCCTCCCGTCTGCCCATGCAGTGCAGGCTGACAACTTCGAACAGCCGGTGAACTGCGTGGTGTCCGCTTGGGGCCAATGGAGCCCCTGCACGTCCACGTGTGGGAAAGGCTCTCAACTGAGGACCCGAACGGTGTTGGTACGTACTCCTATGCCTATTACACTGAGTACTCGGCATCATGTCTCCACATTATACAATACGTATTAACCTGATCTGGGCTTGTAAATTTGCAGTTTAAGACAAATATCACAGTGTCTACCAAGCGATAAAATTATTCATAAAATATCGTTTTTCTGCTTAATGCAGCACAAAATGAGAAACTGTAAGTGGCAGATAGTTAAAACTCTACACGTGTACTTTGCAACCAGTTTCACTTCAAGAAAAACTTAATATACATTTCTATTAGAAACGAGCAGGCGTAGTTCATAGATACAATAAACATTTCGGCGCTAGGGTGTTCAATCAAAGTTTCATACGTACTCTAAAATTGTTTCAAAATAATATGGAATAACTTTATTTGAAGTCACTAAAATATTAACACTTTCAGCCTCAGGAGCTTGGTGGTTGAGTCCCAGAACCCAGAGAATTTAGAGGTATTTTAAGCGACATCCGTAACTGTTTTGCTGAAACAAATGAACAAACCCTTTCCATTTTCAGAAAGTTCGTTTTTTGTTAATTGAAAACAAATAAAAAATAAGTTAAAGTGCCAATTTTATATGTTCTTGACATACGTACTCGAGTATATTACAAAAAACATGGCTTAAAAATCTGTGCAATAACAATATAAGTTTTTCAACATTTTCATATATTTCATCTAAAGCTTTTTTTTACGAAGCTAATTTTCGAATCATTTTTTCCAAAAAAAAAATTTTTGTGGCATGAATAACTTTTTAAACTCAAAACAACGCACGAGCTACAATACAGAACTGAATCTGTCACTGCAAACTACTACGAAAAGCAAGTGACATTACCGGCTCGCATTTCGGAAAAACAACAAATGATTCTCAAATTGGCCAACACATGGCAACATACAGCTACAATTGATACATCCCCTCAGTGCCCAAAACCAACGTATACTCGGGCACGTGCACGGAAAGACGAGGAAACGTGCGCCCGAGCTATGCTGGGGCTTCAGATTTTCGAGCATTAAGCATACTCGTAGCCGAAGTGTAGGTCATGTGAGCTTGGGCTTCAAAGTGTTGATACTGTAAATTAATCCAGCTTACAATGTTTTATATTCTCATGCATTCTTTTTGGAGATGATTGACGATTTTGATGAGTCGGTGCCGAGTTCCTTTCTCGGTTCAGACCTGATTTTATCAATTAATCGACATTTTCAAGGAAATAATATTTGTAATATTTATTATTATGCCCACATTATTTCGTTTTAAAATATCAATATTTCGATCTGGAACCAGACAGATTTTGCAACATAAAATGAATTGAAAAAATTCCACATTCAGTAAAAACACTCGATTATGTAAAGTTGATATGATTATCGATGTTCTTCCTTTCTGAAAAAAATGACCGAATGATATGTGTATAAGTGAATCGTTTCTATACTTTTATTGGTGATTGTCAAGTCGCCGATATGTTCATATATAGAGCAAATCATTTCAGATGGTAAAAAAGCTTCATCCCCTTACAGCAGTTTCTTAACTATTTTTGTCTCCGGTGTCCAAAAGGTTGGGTGCTTGTTGTAGTGAGAATAGTCCAGAATAGTCCTAAGTATTGCCTAAGAAAAATCTACCATTTCGAATTCGAACGAAGAAAAACAATTTGACAAATTACTGAATTATGATAGTGCAGTATCGCCCTTGATTTAAGGTCGTTAGAACGTCCAACCGTCAGCTGGCCCTCAGAATTCCAAAGCACTCGCTGTTCACAAATTTCACCAATGGCTTCCTCAGTCCGCGAGCACTTTGAGTTTTGGATATGTCCTTAACGATGCCGTGAAAAAGAGGCTGCGAAGAAAGCTGACATTTTATTTTTAATTTCTACGAGATTCTAGGCTGATGCCAAAATGGTGAAGGAATTACTAATTGTCAATGTTACGAGGAACACACTTTTTATCATCTGTGTATATATGTGTTTTACTCACCTGTGTACATATGCTTGAAGCAATGGATACATTTTTATAAGTCTTGTTTTGTTTCCAAAATAATGTATAATGACACAATAAAAACATTTTGCAGGTGGAACCACGAAATGGTGGAAAACCATGCCCCAAACGACTCTTCCGCAAGAAGAAATGTCACCTTCCATCATGTGAACAGTAATGGAAAAGAAAAGAATGAAATAAGCACTTAAGATAGAATGGTACAAGACATACCATTCTATCTTAATTCATTGTTTTGGAAAGAATTTCCTTTGCTGACAATGTAAACTTCTACTTAATAACCGAAAGTCTCGACATCAAGATCTTGCAAACCTAAAAAAGAAAAAATAAATAAAAAATATGATCCGAGTATTTGTATCATTTGAAAAGTGTATATATATTGTAAAATGTTCAAAAAAATTCAAGTTGCTAAAATGTAAAAGTATTGAAGTCTGAAGTTATTTGGAAAAATAAATGTAAAAGATTACTTAAATAGAAAACACATTAATCATCTCCAATGGGCAGATACATTGTAAGAAATTAAAAAGTCGATTTCTCGAAATATTTTTATTTTGTGAAATGATGTATTATATCGTTATATGCAATAGTTTTCGAGTTATGGTTTAAAAGATATGGTGCTTCCACATGATGTTTGTGTTGAAATATTAGAGTTAAAAGGTAAGTGAAATAAATGAACTACTTTTTATCGCTTAATTTTATAACACGTTAATATTGGATAAAAATTAAAAATATACATTAATTTTGGATACAAAAACAACACAAGCACATCTGTGCAAATAATAATACTGTATAATACTCCTATGTTTGACAATGCATCAGCTCGTTCCAGTGTCAGACACAGTGTCTGCTTGCGCTGTTACACACGCACTCACTCACGTACGCCCACACATACACATGTGCGCAAGCTTAAATGCGCTGCGAAATTCATACGTCGGTTAATTGTTTTTGGGTCTTTTAAGAACAAATCAGGAATATAGACTAGTTTTATTCGAATTTCGAGAAAGGTTCAAGAATGTTCGAAGGGTCACAAATTCGAAGATGCCAGAAAATATGATTCCTAAAAGTATCAATTTAATACATATATACGCAGACATTTTCTTACATAGGAAAATGCGTTCATACCTCTCGACCATGTTAAAAACCAAACCGTTAAGCTGGTCAAGAATCTAGTAAAAATAACATTATAATTATGGCTATTTATTAGAGTATGCTCTCCTTATCTTCTAACCTTGAGGAAAAGATTCGATAAAATTTACTACTTTTTTAAATATTTGGCCAGATAATCATGTGAGATAATAGTTGCAAATAAGAAAAAATAAAAAGCGTTTTAAAAATAACCAATTAAATTATTTTCTGCAGGAGTAAACCCAGTTACAGTAGTATCTCCAATAATTCCACAACAACGGAAACGGAAATAAGGGTGTCTGCGATTGGTGGTCAAACTCAACAATTCACAATTAACGACTTTCTTACGTTGACTCAATATAGTTGAAGTGAAGAGTCCCCACATAACTCCATTCTTTGTCCAAGGGGCGCTCTGTATTGTCAAGAAGCGTCGCTGAGGAGACGCTGCGGAAAGTGCCACCGTCCTTTTTACCAGCGATTTCCGTGGTACACGAGCGGTAATGTTCCTCGCAATAACCTAACGTTCGTACAATCTACACGACAAAAAAGTACGAGACCAAAAGGAAAATTAAAGGCTAAATAATAAGATCTTACGTTCTTATTTTCTTCTAATTTCAGACTCAATTCATTACTCGAAACTCTCAGTTCTGTTTGGTTTCGAAAAAAACTAGCAATGCCCGCAGTAATTGAATTAGTTTTCAACTTGAAGTTATTTAAACGTTTTTATGCTTTCGATTGATTCCCTGAATAATCGAAGACCAAGTTTGGTAAACCCCTACTTTTTTACAAATAATTCGAGCCATTCAGTTTCCGACCCTTCAATGAGCCTTTCATTTTTCATTCTGTTTTTAATCCTTTCATACAAATTTCTCTGTATACGGTCATTTTTTGCAACATAACATTTATTTCCCTTCCCTACACTATAGTGTTGGCTACAATATATAGTACTTGATTCACATCAACAATAAGATCTGAAATTTTCTGTCGAAAATACCTCTTTAGGATCCTTGTGAGCAGGGCCACAACTACTCTCACCGAGACTAAAATCGTGGTGACGGACGCAAGCGATGGAGGAGATGTTGCTTGCCCATAGATGTGGAATAGGTATAACCCTCAATCAAAAGGTTAGCTCATACATACGAAGGAAAATGAAGGAGTCCGTTGGAACAGGTTCCTTCTTGTGCATTTTTTCATTCGGTACTTCCTTTCTCAGGTTAAAGTCAACACGTTGAGTCATGGGAGCGAAACAAAAAATGAAATGCTTATTTTATTGTTAAATTGTGGAACGCGTAGGAGGGGACATGTTCATAATCACTTGAATTTGTCTATTCACGACTTGTAGATTAGTCGATGATGTTCCTCTATAGGTCCGCCTCTTAATACGCTCCATTGAAGCCAAGAAATTAAATTTTCACGTATTAGTTCCTGCACCAGCCGCTGACGACGGAGAGCGCACTAACGGGGATTTTCTTTATCATATTTGCTGCAGAAATTACTAATTACTACGGTTAACCCGTCAAAAATGCAGGACGAAACGAAACCTTCACATTAATAATAAAATAACATTCCATATATTTTACAAAATGTAGCACTTGTTGCTTTTTATCACTTTAAGACTTCCTTTCTTGTATTTTTATCCCAAAATTGTCTGCGATAAAAGATCTCATTCAAAAAACCTTTTTTTTATTATGTAAAAGGTTCCCTGGAAAAAATGAAGTACTTTTAAAAACGCACATATTTTATCAAAATATTGACCCTGTATTTTGTTGGTATTCTTAAACGTTTCGTCAGGACTATTCTTTTTGGGAAATAAAAAACTGCAGAATTAGCACCAGAATGAACAGATGAATAATTATCGAAAATGTTTATTTGTTACTGTTTAAAGGGATTTTTTATTCGAAATTTTTTGACTGGTAACATTTCCTTAATCCATAAGCAATAAAATAATACGCACAAAACTCCAAGTTTCAATCTTGCTTTAATTTCTCAATCGCTGTTTCAGAGGCGCGATGACTTCACAAATTATGAAGAAAAGGTAGTTATTTAATACGTATCTGATATGTATACAGAGAAACTTCTACATACTGAAAATGAAGATGCCAAATCGAGATCTGCAATACGGAGATATGATACATACACAGAATGGATAGTCCTGATCCAGGCAGTAAATTAAGCAATACCAAATTTTAATACAATCAGATTCAGAGTGTGTTTCATCAGATCTAGAGAGACAGAGAGAGATGTACAACTTATGGGTTGGTCCTATCCGAGATATCTTTTTTGTGGGGTATATCTTTAAACTACGAATATAAGTAACAATAAGCAAATAAAAGTTTCCATCTTGTGCTAGTTGCTCAGACCACACGATCAGGGGTATGTTGGAAATTATGTTCCAGACCCACACAACAGAGGGCTCAAGGGAGTGTCTGTAAAGGAACTAATCAAACAATTCTTTACCCTACAATACTAATTACAAGTGAGTAATATGATATGCTCACTAGCCGTAATATGAGTTTCTCGGCCGAGCATTTGCGAAGGCGACAAAAGACGAACGCTTGAATCATCTCGCGCACGTGTTGCATAATTTTTTTCTTAACATGTCAGTAAAAGATGTTTTATCCACACATTGCAATGTATTCATCAAACTTTCCAACAAACTTTCTCAGGTTTCCAACAAACAAACACGCTTCGTAATATTTTAGCACGCCACTAGTTAGAATGACAAAAATAGGTGTTTCTTAAACGGAAAACAAACACGAGAAACCATGTTTTACGCACAGCGTGTCAAAAAGAAACATTTCCACTCATGACGCGCGTGGCTATCACGCAGAGAACGAATCGTGGGATGACGCGGTAAACCGCTCATCCAACCACGTCAGATACATACGTCGAAATATCGACGTCCATGTCCGTACGTCATGTACTGTTGTCAACCAGAAAACTTTTCCTACAAAAATTGCGTCCAAAATAAACTTTGTTTTCTTTATACATCTTTAACGCTGTTCAAAACGCAGCGTAAGCAACTTGTCTATAACGCACCGGCTTTGGCATGGACCGTGCATGGGCTTGTGCGTTGGGCAGAGCGAGCAAGCGGCGGCGGCGGCGGCATGGCTGCTTCGTCGCCGGCGCCGGCGTCGTGGCGGCCGAGGGCGCGGGGGCAGCCGCGCCGCCCCACGTGCTGCCGCCACTGCGAGTGCGGCCTCACCATGTGGACGCCCCTGCTCACGGCCGTGCGCGGCGTGCGGCGCATGCGCAAGGACATCCGCTCCTTCCCGCAGGACCTGCCGCCCGTCCTCGGCGACGACCCCGACGACTCGCTGCCGCTGCTGCTCGACGACCCCGACGACGTGCCAGGTGCGCGCGTGCCCGCCCGTTGCGCTCCACGACTCCGCAGGATCCATTCGATTATGGATCTAAAACCGGGGGGCTCCGATAGGGATTTACAAAACATAAGTCTTTTAATTTTTTTTTTAAAGAACTTCGCTTTTCCTCAGGTATTACCAATCCCCATCAAGGCTCTCATATTTCATTAACCATTGCTCTGCTATTCACTGGATGTGCCATACGTTTGGCGCCGAAGGGAACTTTACAGGCGCACACTCAGGATGTCCCCCTGCCCTCACTTTCCGTTTCTCAGGTAGCCCTTAAGCCCTTCTGACAGTCACTTGCTGTATTTTCCGAAGTAGCCCTCGGATCTATATCGGTATTTCACCCTTTGAGATAAAATTCGGCCATCTCCTTCATTGCGTCATTTTGTTGAAAGCCCGTAGGTCCACTTCGAACGAACTTTTTTATTCTGCGTTAAGAACGGTGGTAATCAACGAGAGAAGATTCAAAGTGATACATGATGATTGGGGGAGCCAATTAATGCCACAACATACAAGCAGACATTAATGCATGAGGTGAGAGTTGATACCGTAGCCCTTACAGCCGTGGAAGTAAAGGCGGTCACGCCTAACGACCGCGGCTGCTTAACGCACCTAATTTACTGAAAAGATGAATATAGAAGTCTTTATTCATGAGCAACGAACTTTCAGAAAATTCTTAAAAGTAAAGCTGCTAACCTTCGAGTACCGTACATTATTTTATTCGTTATTAAGCGTGCCTCTCGCTATGTTAACAAACTTCGTCCACCTAACTTTCGCCTCCCTTTCAATTCTTAAAATAACATCTGCGAGTTAGAAATGTC